TATATATATATATATATATATATATATAAAAACCTATATACATATACACCTATATATACACATATATGTATATGACGTGTGTGCACTTGCAGCTCTGGAGTAATGATGGCGATAATGGAGCAATGGCAGGTGCACAGGATGTTTTCATGTTATTTTCTTTAAATGATCTTAGACTAAAGACGTCTGCCAAACACACCAGCCAATGAAACAAATAGATACAAATGGATGTACTTTTACATTTCAGAAAAAAATATATATCGTGATTCTATGTGAAGAGAAAGGACACATATAAGTACAGCACCATAACAGCCATCATGAACGAAGCCACAAACACAAACCCAGTCCCCTAAAATAGCTCCCAGGCAGCTGTTAGATTCCCATTCTTTTATTTTTACTGATGCTTTCACTCAAAGCACATCCCAGCGGGGGACAAAGTATCGACCATCGCTCACAAACACTGTTATAACTGGCATCATAACCTACCTGTTACAAAGAAGGAATAACAGAGAGGAAAAAAGCCATGTCCATGATGGAGATGAGAGTAAAGCTCTTCCAAGATCCTTTCCTCAATCCAAGGTTGGGTTAAAAAGGCTGTCAGGAGATTACAAAGCGGGATATTCAGTCTGCTTTCAGCGGCACACTGACTGACCGCTGCTCGGTACCTGTTAGGAAAAACACAGTGGAAAATACACGGAAAACGCCCCTCACGGTGCGCTTTTTCACGAGGGGGGCGCCGAAGGCATTTAACCTGTAGTCTTCATTCATGTTTATCCATTTGCGGGATTCAATAGGAGGCTAAATAAATCCCCTCCACCCAAGGACTGAGACAAAAAGTACTCCTCCGTCCTCCCGTTTGGCGGCGCGACAATCTGAACTAAAGACTGACGAATCTCCCAACCCGGCCACAGCTCCGCCCCTTCCAATTGCCTCTCGTCAGCGTCCTATCCAATCAGAAGACGTGTTTAAATTTGGAATTGGACAGCGGGCCAATGGCAGAAATCGTTACATAAAGGGTAGAAGCTGGTTCATTCTGGTCACCAGATAGAAAGAACAGCTTTACATTTTTTTTTACAATGTATTATTTTCATATTGAAAAAAAAAAACAACTAAAAAAAGATGAATTGTTAAGCACAAGCCTAAACATTTCTTATAGTCTTTGCACGTTTCTTTTTCAGTATTATTTTTTCCTTTCTAAAACATGAACAGAAAAGTTAGGTGCAACATCCCTGTTGAATTTATAAAATGGTTATAGTGTTTTGGGAAAATTATATAATTTGAACATACATATAAAGCCTTAAATGGCCAAGCTCCATCTTATATAATTGTTCCTTATGTTCCAAACAGAGCACTTCACTCAATATACAGCTTTACATAGATACATATACACATATATTCACATACATACATATTTATATATATGCATAAATACATAGAAATCAATCTTCAGGTTTACTAGTGGCTCCTAGAACTTCTAAAAGTAGAATGGGAGGCAAATCTTTAAGTTATCAGGCTCCTCTCCTGTGGAACCACCTACCAGTTATAGTCCGTGAGGCAGACACCCTGTCTACTTTTAAGGCTAGGTTTAAAACTTTCCTTTTTGATAAAGCTTATAGTTAGAGTGGCTCAGGTTATCCAGAGCTATCTTTAAAGTTATGCTGCTATAGGCTTAGACTGCTGGAGGACATAGGGACCCCCATTTCAACATTCTGCTTCATTCTATCTCTATTCTCCCATTCCGCAGAATCTATTAGTTCAATCTCTAACCTTCTGCTCTCTCTGCTTTTTCTCATAGTAGCTTCATCTTGTCTGTTCCTGTTTGGCTGTGACACCATCCTGGAGAGAAATATCAGCTGTGCTGCTGCCATCAACACCTTTGTTTATAGATGTTCCAGATTGGCCTGTTTTTCAGTGTAGTCCTGTTTCTCTGACTGTGACTGCCTAGATGTGCTCTCTTTCATCCTCTGACATGGGAGCTGGCTTGGAGCTTGTCTGCCTGGCTGTGTGTTTCCTGGACGGGGCCGCCTGTGAAGCTGCTTGACAGTTGCCTTTTGTATCTCTGCCTCTTTCTGTATGTCTGCTTCTGTCTCCTTGAACCCCAGTCGGCCTCGACAGATGGCCACTCACTGAGTCTGGTTATGCTGGAGGTTTGTTCTTTTTAAAAGGGAGTTTTTCCTCTCTACTGTCGCTACGAGCATGCTTAGTGTGAGGGATTGCATTCAAGTCAATGAGTCGGTGCAATCAACTAGTTCTCCTTAGATAGAAAACTTTGAATCAATTTGACTGTATGATCTGGTGAACTGTAAAGTGTCTTGAGATGACTTGTGTTTTGAATTGGCCCAATATAAATAAACTGAAACTGAACATTTTTACGTTGTGTGACGTCACAACCACAGAGTTTAATGTATTTACATTTCTTTTACGACTTTTGCAGGATGATTACACCCACATACAGGTGGCATTCACAGTACCAATAAGTATTGCTTTGCCCTCAAAAATACAATTTTGAACATATCTGGAAATGTAATACCAAGAATTTTATGTGACTCACAAACACAAAGCCGTGATAAGTATGAATTGGAAAAAAGATTCAATGCAAATAAAAAAGTGAACTGTATAAGGGTAAAGTACGTTGGTGGCTGCATTATGTTATGGTGATACTTAACTTCAGATTGGACAGAAAATGTTTCTAAGCTTTTTAAGATGGATGATGCTAAATGCTTGACAATCCCAGAACATGAATCTGAGGCTGGAAAATACTTGACGCTAAGGTGAAGGTTCAACTTTAAGCACCTCTATTCAGAGAGCAACAAAGAAGTCAACAACAATAACCAAGAAGGAGCTGCAGAGATCAAAGACTCAGGAGAAAAAAATTATGATTGCAAGGCTATTTGGAAACATATTAACTTAAACAGAATTGCAAGAAGAAACTCTTTGGTTAAAGAAATCCAGTGGATGTCCGATATACAAGTTGCAGCACAAGCAAACATGTAAATGAAGCTCCTCTGATTACATAAGACCAAGCACTGAACTCTTCCCAGCATGCAAAACTGTATGGGTGGTTGAAACCCTGCGCTGCGTATTGTCCTCAACCCCCTATCCTCCTGAAGTGTACGTCTACTCTAATCTGTAGCAGCTACACTCTGAAAAAAGTTCTCAAGGATGAAGATATTTTCCCACAATAATTATAAATAAGTGTTCTATATACATATTTAAAGCAGTTAAATTGCATTCCTATATTTTTATTATTAACATCTATCAGGTCCACACACATGCTAAGTTGTTCAGCTTTCCAACATCAAGATGCTGAAACAGATTTTCCTTTCCATTATAAACTGTGGAACTACAGACCTTAACTTTGTCATAGTGACATATAGAACATGGCTGCCACATGGGAACCAGCAGAGCATGAAACAGAAGCCTCAGAATTGCACAGCTGATCCATTCAGAGACAAAGCCCTACAGTTTTTTTGTTTACATGCTACTCCTGCAGCACAATAGAAGACGGGACAATAGGATGAAGCTATCCCAGTTAGAGTGAGGACCTATTGTCTAACGAAGTGGTGCGCGTTTGCCCAAACAATGAAGAAGTTCAACTGATAGAAGTAGGTTTCTGCATTATATGATGGGAAACATGAGGCTGCGATTCATTAAACCATCTCAGCGAAAGCTCTGCAGGAAAAGGAAAAATATGCTTGTTGTTTTTAAGTTGGGTTTGCATCCTTATGGATTACATCTGTGAGTAAAAAATGTTCCAGAAACTATAAAAACTTTTATGGCTCTCTGCTTTAGTGACTCCAAAACGCATGGAAGCAACTATAACCATGCAACTCCATCCCTCTATTCAGGGAAAAATACTTTTTCTGTATCCTTTTTACGCCAGATAAACAGTCAGCAGCAAGAAGATTACAAGTCTTTCCTTGGCAGCAAAATGTTTGGCTGGATTAGGGCTTTACATGAATGCCAGCTAAAAAAAGGGTTTGGATTAGGCCTGGGAGAAATGACTCTGCAGCTCTGCATTTGTCGTAAAGGAAATCATATATATCCTAAACTCAACAAATCCTCATGCACTCAGTGAGCATTCTTTTAAACCTGTGGTTCAGGATGAGGATCACTGCCGAGTAGGACTAGTTTGATATAACACAATTTCATACAATATATATAATCAGGGGGTCCCCGCTCCATCTCGCCATCAGTTTGGGGGTCCTTGGCCTGGAAAACAGTGAAGACCGCTGTGTTAGACTGAAGAGTCAGCTGTTTGGTAGGTAGTCAGAAGCACAGGAGGACGTACTCTAACCATTCCTTTTTACTCTGAACCTCTTGAAATTATTTCTCAAAGAAATGTTATTCCAAAAATGACGAGCATTATGGTCAAAAGTAAGCATTCTCTTCAGAAGATTGTTAAACAACAACAGTCTTCAGTAAGCGGCTTCTCCAGATCTCGTGCAACAGAAGATCCTTCCTGCATACAGCTATAAACACCTACAACAACTAGTCAAAAAAAAAAAAGTTACTGCAATAGTCAATTTCAGTTTGGGATTAATACAGTATTTTTTTATTAAATCAAAGAAATCTGGCACAATATCTGAGATCAAGTCAGTGTTAGAGAGGCAGTTCGCTATTTGGAAATCCTGAAGGTGGATTATTGGATCATTGTCCAGCTGCATAAACCAAGGATGCTTGGCTTTAGGTACTGAAGTTTAGTATCTGAAGGTCTTACAATCTTCTCCCAGGCCCTGAAGAAGAAATGAACCGTGCAATCTGATTGACTGAAACATGATCGACTGTAGGTATGATAAGCACGCTAATCTTTGTAGCGTGCTGGGGAGAGGCTGTCCTCTATCTCTAGTGGTGATTTAGTGAGAACAGGGGCAGCTACACCCTGCATAAGTTGTTAGAGACACACTTATGGCCCTTTTGCCACTATTCCTTACTTGGTATGGTTTGTCTGTGTTCTACCTGTTTTTTAGGTTTTTTCCCCATAAGTGAAGCCATTTCTGTTTTAATCCCTGGTTACATACAGCTCCAACCTTGACAAAGCCAGCCAAATGGCAGCCGAATGGCAGCAAAATTCCCTCCAACTTCCAGCCACCGGCCTTCTCCTTGGCGTGCATATTTTTTTACTCTGACATCACTGTTTCACTGAATTACAGGGTCTGACCAGAAGAAAATGCTTCTCTTTAGATCTTAATGTCCACAAAGCTTGACAGAAAGAATATATTTAGATGTCTAAAATGGAATTGTTGGGGACCAACCAAGGACTAGCCAAGGGCCCATCAAGGAAAGTGGGGACATTTTGAATGGCTACTACTCTACTATCTACATGTACTCTTCACAAACCTTTTATTCATGCCTTGCCTCGCCACAAAGATTGCCTTACAGATACTTTGAAAGTGTGAGCTCATGGTGCATAGAGCATCATCCTGGCACAATCACGGGCGCAGTGAATTCCAGGGTGGAGCATGTTTGTCTAGATGAGGAGTTGAAAGCACAACCCAGGTGCTGGGTCAACTCTGCATGTTGAAAAAGATTTTGACTCAGGGCATGGGTTGCACAAAAATAAGCATAAAAATACCCAGCTACCCTAAACATAAGTCCTAATTGATTAAATCCTTTCCTATCCCAGGGTTTGGGTAGATAAAATAACACAGAACTTTTTAGTGAGTATTAAATCATATCATAAACTAAAATACATTGAAGTGTCATAGAAAAGCAAATCAAGAGAAACATGTGACCATGTGATATTTACTTACTTCTTGGCATCACTTATAAATCTTTTGGGAACACAAAATGTTTCTTTTCTCTAATCATTACTTTTAACAACCCATTCAAAAGCAACACTTTGAATTCCATTTTTTTTTCACTTTTTC